AGACCTAAATCCTTCATCTTGAAGACCACGTGCAAGACAAACTCAGATACCTCCTAATTAAAACAGATTACCACGAGACACGCGTTAATGAACACGTTTCATAACCAATCAGCCCTAATAATAATCGCTGGTGAAGCCGATGAGTCAGAGAGTCTAGGAACGATAATTATATCTTATTCTTCAGCTGTAATTAAAGACCGATCATAGGAGAGCAAAAAGTTGGGTTGTTTAGGCTAGCAAACGCCCTGACCAGACCGGGCCCTGGCTGCAAACACCCCGGGAAGGGCGGGAGCTAAAGGAGGACCCGTCTGCAATTAAGCCATGTCTGGAGCAGCCAGCAGCCCGCGGCACGGCCAGGAGCACGTGCCCCGCGCCAGGCTCCTCTCGGGGCATAAAATCTGAGCTCAGACGACACCCTCTCCCTGCCCAGGACACTCAGCTGGCTCCTCCTGGCTTCCAGCTAACGGGGACCCCAGGGGATGCCTCTGCGGCCCCTCGTCTGCTGCTCCCCTTGCTCCTGGCTTCGCTGTGCCGAGGGCTCGGGGTGCAGTGGGCGTCCGGCTGGGATCCACCCGCACCCCAGGTCACCGAGTCCTGGTTGCTCAAGCATCGCCGCGTGGCGCTACTCCTCCTAATCAGGCGCTGATAAATTATCAGTCAGCTTGCTCCGGAGTCCAGGGCGCGCACGGCCGAGCCGGCCGGGGGGAGGTTTGTGCCCCAGCCCCACATCACGGGGGGACAGCCCGGGGCACCCCATCCCTGGGCTGCGCAGAGCCGACCAGAAGGAAGGGAATGAAACTCCACAGGGACCATTTGAGCTTCTTCCTTTGGGACAAATCTACATCCTGGTGTCAAACAACACCATTTTCAATGAGCAGGTGTGACTAACTGTTGCTTTTGAGGAACTGAAACCATTTGCAAACGGAATCCAGGTTTTTCACCCCAGAACACGCAGGGGAGTCGCACGCTTGGGTCAAACTCCCTCCAGCTGACATCCTTTTTGTGGGAAACTTCTTGGCTTCCCACAGCAATGCTTTTGTTTCGGCTTTGACCGTTTTTATTAGAAGGGGCTAC